CCGGGAATCCCTGGAGGGCCGGGAGGGCCAGGGTTACCCTGGGACAGAAAAATTAATCAGACAGGAGGAGGGACAGCAGCAAACACAGCCAGGGACAGCCCCATCTTATTCCTCCCTGAGCTCCCTCTCTCCCTCCCAGATTTCTCTTCAGAATGTGTTTCTACCTTACAGACAATTTCTATGTGCAAGAGCATTCAGATCAGTCAGGAATTCATCCAAGTGATTAAAGCAGGAATTTATCCAAGTGATTAAAGCAGGGCTTTTCCTGAGCTGACATCTGTGCATGGCAAAGAATAGCTGTTAACTCAAACTGATTTTAACATGATGATCCTTGGAAAGATGAATTTTCCTGGGGAGTCAGTGCATGGTCCTAGAGGGAGAGCAGTGGAACCCAATGCACTTCAGCCGAAGTAACTGCTCCTTGTTCAGGAACAGCCTCATTCCTCCCTGCCTTCTTGAAAAAATCCCTTATTTCTTTTTCTAGTTGTTTTCAAAGAGAAAAATCCTCCCCTGTTACTTTTAAGTGTAAGTTTACCTTTTCTCCTTGTTTTCCTACTTCACCAGGCTCCCCTTTGTGACCAGTGTGTCCCTAGAAATAAGAGTTATGATTATTCACATCCCAGTAGAGCCTTGTTTTAAAATTAGGTTTGGTGAGACAGATGTGAAACCTAAACCCCACATCCCAAATGACTTTCAGGGAAAGCAGTCTGTAGGTGTGCTGTGAATGGAGATCCCCCCTGGGGGAGGCTGTCAGGTACCAGAATTGATGCAGCTCCTGAAAATGCCCAGGTTTGGTTTTCCAGAGTGACTTGCACCAAGCTCATGGTCTGGATGCAACTCTCAAACCCAGGGACCAGAACTCAGCTCCCATCACCCCAGAAGTGGGGATGAGTCACTCCTGAGAACCCCATTCTGCATTTTAACCTCCCTTTTTACATCATCTTTAACGTCTGCATCATCAAGTTTTCAAAGAAATCCGTGTCCCACTGAGAGCTCTCTCATCAGCTCTGACTCACATTGAGTCCTGGCTCTGTTCTGTGGCTGTGGAGAGACCCAGGCTCTTTCCAGCCGTGGCAGATGTTATTCCTCACCACAACAAAGGTCCTGGGCACCATTTGCATCATAATTGGAGAGCTGCACTGGGTTTTCCATGTCATGAGCCATGAATTTTGAGCAGTTATCCCCAAACATTTTGTATTTGTAATGACATTTATGACTCAGTGCAGAGCCCAGGCAGGCAGGGAAGGTGGGAAAGGTCACTCAGGAGGAACTGAGAGCATTTCCCAGGAGTTCTCCCACTCACTGCCAACTCCTAAATCCTGCTAAAAGAACTTGAATCACTTTTTACTTTGTCTCACTGCTGGAGTCCATAACTGCAAAGACATAGAGGGGACAGAGGAGAACATGTTTAACTCCTGAGGGCTGAAAATTTACATACCAGAGGCAAACTACATAATTCACTTTAAAATATTTAAACATAAATCTGCCCGCTGCTACACTGGCTATAAAAACAGCAATTAAATTGTATTATATTAATTATGTAAGTTACATTTTGTAGTTTAGGAGCTGTCGAGGTTTTTCCAGCTCTCAGCACCTGGTTCTTGAGGTAGCCTTGAATTTCTGCCCCTGTTTGTTCCTGTCCATCAGCTCTGCCCCACTGGCCTTGTAGGGGTTTTTAATCCATGCCAAGGGTTAAATTTCATTTGTTTCATTTGTAGGAATAAATGCAAATGGATGGCTGCTTTGGGAGCTGTGGAGCCTATATGTAGAGACTGTATATCTATATCTATATCTATATATCTATATATATCTATATATCTATATATTTAAATTATATATTATTATAAAATTTATTTTACATTTTATATTATTTATTTCTTATTATACATATTTATAATATTAAATATTATGAATATTTATTACTATTATAAATTTAATTAAATATAATTAAATTTAAATTATAAATTAATATATAATTTAATTGTGGTGTTTATTTTGGGAGACCGATCTGGAATTGCAGGTGATGTTTCCTTACCTTGAAGCCTGGCATTCCTGGGGGGCCTGGGGGACCTGGTGGGCACAGAGCTGGGCACTGCAGGGAACAGAAACACTTTGGTTTGACGGGCACACAGCACACCCAGGGAGGCTGGCTTCAGCCAGGAGGTGAAAAAGTCATTGTGGATTTTGGCTCTAAATTCACTAAATCTAATGGGATCACAGCATCATGGATTGACCAACATTTCCCTATGGAACAGAGGTCCTGGTACCCCACCAAATAATGATTTATGAATGGCCTACTCCACTTTGAACATGGACTGGGAGCCTTTCTGAAGGCTGGCAGTGTCCACAGCCCAAAATGCTGAAGAACTCAATGAAATTAGATCAGTTTCTTTAAATAATGAGGACCATAATTAATCCTCTGCATTAACTGACTCCTATTGATTTCCTGTAGCCAACTCTTTAAAAGAAACAAGGACAGGCCTCAGAGTTAATTGAAGGGCACCAATAAAAATCAATACCTATAAATTGATATCTGCAGATGTCCAGGGGTGGGAGAGCCCCTGGTGGGAACTCCAGCTTGACTAGAAATTTAATGAGGAAAAGGCCAAAATCTTGAAATTTTACAAATAGCTCTCAATTTGTTTTGTTGGTTTGGTTTTGGTTTGTTTTTTTTTCTTTTAATACAACTCCAGGCAGCACCTCTGTAGCAAAAATTTAATTTTCTAGTATATTCCACAGGGTAACTTAGATTAAAGATGCAGAAATAGCACCATTTCCTATTAACTGCCATGTGATGTGCCATCAGGCAGTCTAAACTGACTCGGAGCTTTTTTTGGGACATGCCAATTAGGAAACCAGAGAAGCTGTCACAACAACAGCTGTGGAATCTGCAAATGTCACTTCCATCATTCCTGGACCCAACACTCCTTTGGTTCCCCCAAGAGAAAGGGATCAGGGCTTTCTGCTGAGGGAGGAAACCTAAACAAAGCCTAAACGTGTCCGTGGAACCAGGGCCACCATCCCTGGGAGCAAACAGGGCTGCACACTCTGCCTTTCTTTTGCAGAGCAGGACTGGAAGCACGGAAAGCTGTTGTCTGTTACCAAATGCTGGACTTGTTTAGCACATGGAGAATGCAGGCAAAATGCGCATTTTGGGAAACAAAAATCGAGGAGAAAATCAAAGACTGGTTTGGGTTGGAAGGGACCTCAAAGCCCATCCCATTCCACCTCTGCCATGGCAGGGACACTTTCCACTGTCCCAGGGTGCTCCAAGCCCTGTCCAGCCTGGGCTGGGACACTGCCAGGAATGGGGCAGCCACAGCTTCAATGGGAAATCTGTTCCAGTGCACATCTGCCTCCCTGAATAAACATTTCAGTCCAGGAAACACACACCCCACTCTGATAAGGTGGTTTAAACCCACTCCTGCAAGTCTAAACAGTGCATGTGAAATGGTCTGACACTCCCCCAGCTGTGCCTACCAAAAGTCACATCAGGGATTAAATCAAAGCATATTTCCATGCTACATAAAGAAAAACCTACCTGAAGGTCCCCGCCGCCATCAGGAAGGGCACCTGGAAGACCCTGCAATTCAGGGAATGGTGGCTTTTAGATATAAGGGAAACATCAGGAGGAAACACAAGTTCTAGGACAATGTTTACAGACCCTGCAATTCAGGGAATGGTGGCTTTTAAACACAAGGCAAACACCAGGAGGAAACACAAGTTCTAGGACAATTTTTACAGACCCAGCTCAGCTGGATCAGGACAATGCACACACAGACCCAAAGTGCTGCCCTGAACCTGGAGTGTTCTGAGCTGCACCAGCCCCAAAAGCAGACACAGCAGGGCTGAAACCATCCCTGGGGAAGACTCTTGGGCCTGAGATGATGAAGGCAGCAATTAGAGAAGGGCAGCTGTGCCTGGCTTCATCCTGGCCTTGGGAAAGACCCCCCAGTCCCCCTGTTCAACACTGCAGAGAGGCCACAGCAAACACAAAGCAGGGCCTGTCGCAGACATCTTTTTATGAAAAATCCTTTCCTTTGGATTTTTCCTCCTGAGAAGCTGAGAGGCCTCAGGAACAAAATGTAAACAATGATTATCTGCTGCTGTGGAATGCAACAGGTGCATCTGCGATTGGCCCATGTTGGATGTTTCTAATTAATGGCCAATCACAGTCAGCTGGCTCAGACAGAGAGCCAAGCCACAAGCCTTTGTTATCATTCTTTCCTATTCTCTTCTTAGCTAGCCTTCTGATGAAATCCTTTCTTCTATTCTTTTAGTATAGTTTTAATGTAATATATATCATAAAATAATAAATCAAGCCTTCTGAAACATGGAGCCATATCCTCATCTCTTCCCTCAGCCTGAAACCCCTGTGAACACGGTCACACAGGGACCTGAGAGTCCCCCCTTGCTGGCCCTGCAAGCACAGATCCTGATCCAAGTAAGCACAAAAACCTTGCTGGAGAGAACAGCAAGCCCTCCCCATGCCCTGTGTGCCATAAAGGTGGGGTTCATTGGGTGCCTCCTCACACAGAGCACAAATAACAAACAGGAGATCATCCTCAAAACACCCAGAGAAAAGTCCTCTCCTCAGGACATGGCATTTGCTGAGTGCTCATGGCAGTGGCAACAAATAAAAAGTGCAGCAAGAAGAAAATTCCAGAATCCCCCCTCCCCAAGAATTTTCTCACATTTATTTGCAAGTCTCAACTTACAGGAGGCCCAGGTGGTCCAGGAGGCCCTGGGAATCCTGGCAGACCAAAAGGTCCCTAAAAGGAGAGGAAAACAGTAAGAATTCCCTTTCAATGTAAATGCAAGGGGATGTGGGGGGTGGCTAGCAAATATCACTTCTGAGAGAGGTAAGAAACAAAAATTAAACACTCATTCTTCTGTGGTGGTGGCACATTCAGTAAATGAGGATTAAATGGTGGGAGAAACTCACAGAAGGGCCCCGAAATCCGTGTCCCCCTGGGAGCCCACTGGGTCCTGGAGGCCCCTGTGGAACAGAGAGAGGAGCTTCAATATCTGTGCTGACCTGGACACCCCAAACCTGGGGTACCCAGCAGCTGGGATGCCTTCAGAGGCTGCCTGGAACAGGGGCTGGACAGAGTTAAAGGAACAAAATTGGGATTTATTAAAAGGCTTTTTAAGGATGCACCTTGGGCAGTGCAAGAGCCAGCCAGGGCTACACCCAAGACAATGTGTCACAAGTTCTCAGACTTTTATCAGTTTTGGTCCATTTCCATATTGGGGTTAAGTGTCCAATTCCAGCTCCAGGTTGTGCAGTCCCACCCTCCCAGTTTGCTCCCTTCAATTCCCTGTTGTTTGCACTTTTTGGGGCTGGAGCTGCAGTGGTGTCCTTGGTTCTAGGGCTGGAAAAGGATTGTTTTGTCTGACTACACTGTGAGGGGAACTTGCTAACTCTTTATATGAAGTTCAGAGTTCCATACTAATGCAGTAGAGAATCAGGAAAACATGAAAGCTCAAACTGAAGGCATCCCTTGGGCTGTCCCCATTTTCCATTCCCCCCAAGGAGCTCCACCTGCACCACACCAGCAGCTTCCCAAGGCACATTTTGCTTTTTATTCCAAAAACTCCCCTGGAATTCACTGCCAGTCTGCATCCCTCAGGCACAGGGCAGCTCCCAGGGCCCCACCAAACCAAAGCTGCCCCAGGGTTGGTCACTCCCACTGCTTACAAGGCTGCTGAGCTTTGAGTTTACACCAATCCAGCTTCTCCAGGGTGGGGACAGGATAAAAACCCCACAGGGTCAATGATCTGCAGGACTCCTGGCACAGCAGAAGGACCTGAGGCCTGGAGTGGGTTTGCAACACTCAGGGTATCCAATCAAATCCAATAAAATTAAGATGTATAATTTATAATCTTAATTTTAATTTATAATTTTTAGTTCTTTAATTTAATTATTAATATTGATTTATAATTTTTTTTGAAAAAAAAAATCTTATTACTTACTGGAGGTCCTGGTAGTCCTTTGCCCTGAAAACAACATTTGAAACAATAAAAGATCACTCAGAAAATGGGCACACAGGAAAAATGCTGCTAATTTTTTTTTTGTTTTAAGTTTCCTTATCACTCCCTTGCCCCATTATAATGATTATAATTTGCAATCAGAGCAGAGTTTTGATGAATCCTTTTGCTGTCTCTAATAATTTGCATTCCCTTTCCATCTCTGTTACCTGTGAGACATCTGTGAGAAGAGAGATGTGTGGTGGCACAAAGGTGGGACATGGAGAGGAAGAAAATACTCCAGTTTATCTATTTCTCCTTTTTCTCTTCCTTTTAATTTTGATTAGACATTAGATAATGTCTAATAATTGTGATAGCATTTGAAATGTCAGTCTGTATCCCAAACTGGTTTGCTTTTAGAGAACCTCAGAGAATAAAACCAGGTCTGTGCTACCTGAACAGGTCACACACACACATTTAAACATTTCAAACAATATATTCACTCATTCAGGCTTTGATCCTTTTGTTTGGGATGCAAAGCTTCCCATCCTTTCTTGGCACAATATTCCACATTTTCATCACATGAGCTGCTCTGGGAGGTACTCACAGCTGGTCCAGGTGGCCCAGCAGGTCCCAGTGCACCCTGTGGGAATAAAACAGGATAAAAATCAGCAGGGATAAGAGAGGAACCTCCACATGGGGAGTCACCAAGGGCTGCTCTCCTTGACTCCAATCTTTGCTTGGAAACTCCAGCAGTGTCTTGGTGGACAGAACTGGAGATGCTCAGCTGAATTCACACATATAAGGACAAAAATATATGGATAATTACTCTGGAAGTCCTAGCTGGCCTCAGATGAATATCTAAAATATCCTCCATGAATATCTAAACGTTCATAACTTGAATTCTATCTACTTGAAATATTCTCATTCATAATGCATTCATATTGTAGATCCAATTACTAAGCTTCCTAAAACTATTAACAGAATTTGGATTTGTTCTAGCGAATTTTATTAATCCATCTATTTTCCTTTCAAGCAAAGCCAAAGATTTGGCAGCTTCTGCTTCTTCCCTTGCTTCCTTGGCAATTCCCCCATCTCGTTTTCCCAGTTTGCATTCCCACTCTTAGGCTTGGCTGGAGCTTGGTGAGCTCATGGCTTAGACTGGAATTAAGTCACTCTTGAAGCTGAGAAGCTCCTGCTTGACTGAAGATAAGAACACAGAGAGATGTGTCATATTTGCATGGAAAAGGTCAGAACGAGGAAGACTTCATTTACTTCCTCATTTTGGGACCCCTCCCCATGAAAGGGACCACCGACCCATTTCAAGGAACAAACCTACAGATGCTTAATGGCTTTTGAACTAATTACCATACAAAGTGGAGAATGGGATGTACCAAAGTCATGAATATGCATTTGTATTTTGGGTATTCAGTACTTGTGTAGATAAAAGGACTCTGTAATCACCTGTAAATCAATACTTGTGTAGATAAAAGGACTCTGTAATCACCGGTAAATTGCAGTGTGTATTTGGGAGCTATCCCACAATAAACATCCACTTTCTAACTTGAAACTGTTAGGGAGTTTTTGTCTGTCACAGTTGGATATCGGTACTAGATCAATATCCTTAGTTTTTAATAAATCAAGCCAAAGGAGGTTAGAAATGCTTTCCCTTGTTAAGCTTAAGGAGAAAGACACAGAGGACCCAAGGCCTTGTTAAGAGTGGTCTTGTGAGCAGAGGACAGTAATCCAATAAAATCAGCTGTGCTGTGAATGGCAGCTCATTCATTTTCCTGCTGCAGGTCACTCTGCTCTGCCCCAGTCACTTTTATCTGCAGGCTAAAAATCCTCCCAACTGCTGATGGCTGTAAGGGACCAGCTGGGATCTCCTCCTGCAAGGAAAACATTGAATTCCTGGCATCCCCTGACTTGCACCCTCATTCTGAAAGCAGCTGCATCCCCCCTTTCTGCTTTGTCCAACAGGCCAGAAAGATGGCAGAGCACCCAAAATGCCAAACTGTGGCCCTTGACTCCCTAATTCTGATGCCTTGGAGGGTATAAGGTGCAGAATGCAGCAGTGAATGTTCCTGGTAAGGTAAGAGACTGTGAAATCCCTAAATTAGCTGATGCTACTGCCTTAAGGCAAAGGAGAGACTCTAATTTACATCTCAATTTTAATAACATTGTGTGACTCGACTCGTTCTCTTGGTAACAATGTTCTTTCTGTTTTGATTAGAAAACACTATCATCATAATTTTTCATTTTGTAGCAATTTACTCTGTGAATAGACAGTTATGGAGTGTAGAAAACACTTGATTATTATGACATTCATAAATAGAAGTGAATAATTATGTTTTCTTTATTGCTTTCATTGGAAAGCAACAAACTTCAAAATGGCTTTTGAGAACTTTCCAATGAAGGACACCAGTATGTAACGTGGAGGTCAGGACCCAGCTAAAAATAAAGGCGTTTTAAAATTGAAAAAACAAATAGACTTGATCTAATCAGTCTTTAAGCAGAAGCAGGAGAAAAGCTAATGGGCGCTGAGAGCAGCAGGAGATATTTAAGATAAAAATCTTTCTGGAAATGTTTGGCAATAAATCATTACTGAAAACTGGCTTCCATGAGCCCACTTCCCTATGCTAAACAGCTTTGCTCTCAGACACTCCAGTTGAAAAATTTAAGCTTATTTGGAAGAAATCAGAGTGTTAAGCATGAATTCAAACCCACAGCAATGAGTAAACAGCTTATTTCAGTGAGTCCTGCAAGACTGAGATATGTTCTACAAGACAGGGAGGAAAAAAAGCAAGTTGGGCTAACAATGCTCCATTTGGAGTGCCAAAGCTTTCAGAGGCCCTCCCTTTCCCCAGGTTTTTATCAGACCAATTAGAGCAATTTCCCAGATGGACCAGTGACCTTGAAAAGCTCCCATAACTGAGGAGGGGTCCCAGCTCTGCCCCATGCTGCCAGACTGAGTTACACGAGATGGGAGAGCCCAGCAAACCTGAGCTCTGCCTGTCTGGGGCAGCCAGAGAGGAATTCCTGTGCCCAAAAATCACCTGCTCAATCACCCTGCAAGGCAGGAGCTGTGTGCCAACGTGGGCACAGCCACCCAGCCCCAAGCAGGGCTCAGAACAGCTCACAGCCTCCCATGGGTGCTCCTGAGCTTCCCACCTTTAAAAATCGGGGATCTGTTCCCAGATGCTGCTGGGTTCTTGCCACAGAATGTCTGAGAGTGGCCAGGACCTCTGGGGGGAAGGATGGGCACAAGGGGCAGAAAAGGAGTGGGGTTTGTGGTGGTGGTGATGGACACAGGCTTGGAGCTGTGAGCAGGATATTTGGGTCCTGCCACTCAGTTTTGCCAGTGGCCACACAGACTTTGCCTGTCACGGGGGAAAGGAATAGGAGCATATCACAAATACATGGTTGTACTGCTCATCTCCTAAAATAACTCACAGATTTTTTTTAGATTTCAGTTAGTCCTTGGGCCAAGAAGTGGATTATTGGGATATACTGAACAGGTGACAGAATCTGTACAGTACATGGCTGTACTGTTCATTCCCGTAAATAACTCACAGATTTTTTAGATTTCAGTAAATCCTTGTGCCAACAAGTGGATTATTGGGATATACTGAACAGGTGACAGAAATCCAGCCCATCACTGCAGCCATGAGCCCAAGAGGCCAGCAAGCCAGCTGTGGGCACAAGCCCTATATTGCCATCTGGGAGACAGGAGAACAGCTGTGCTGGATCACAATCTGTGCTGAGAGGCTCATTAATGATTATTCCTTAATGTCACAGGGAGGCCTGAGAGGGGAGATGACTGTGGATGGTCTGAAGGACATCTGTATCATCTCTGGCTGCTGTTCCTCTGTCCCTGTGGTGCCCCTCAGCAGAGCTAGAATATGCAGAAAGCAGAAAAAACCCTTATTTCTTGCTAGGCTGGCTGGGGAACACTATGGCAACTAATAATGCAACCATATGGACAGTTCCAGAAATAATAAAAGGCAAAAGTTCAAACAACTAATACTCAGTAACATTAATTATAAACAACACAGATCTGCCAACTCAGACTGCAAATCAAGGCCAAAATAACTTCATTTTGATAAACTTCACAACTGAGTCTGTTGACTGCTTCAAGAAACTTTTTGGATACTTGAAATATCCTCGGTACAGCCACCACTGAGGCAACCCAAGCAGATTCAAAGCTGTGTGAAAGAAAGGTGGATTTCATGCCCTGCCTAATGAAAACCCACCTGGGGCTGCATTTCAAGGATCCAAAGAGTTTACATCAGAATCAGCACTTGAATATCACCAATCTACTGCAGAATGTGAAAATCATCCCCACACTCAGTGGCAATGAGCATTTAAAGAATTTAGGATTTATGAGGTACTCACACGGTCTCCTGGAGGCCCATTTGGGCCAGGTGGGCCATCAGTTCCTGTTAAACCCTGCAAAAAAAAGCCCAAAATATCAACAGAGTGCCATCCTGTCAGTAACACATCTCAAAATTGTTCTCATATTCCTTAATTCAGCCCAGAGTTGCTTCTCCTTCAATTTCTCCTGACATGCAAGACACAGATGTGGGTCCAGGACTCCCATTCCTTCTCCAGTAGGCACAGAGAAGTTGGTGAGACACATCAGGAAAATTCTCCTGCCTGGGTGAAATGTTTAAAAAACCTGAGAGAAGATGACAAATACTCACATCCACTCCAGGAAGGCCAGGCAATCCAGCTTCACCTGCAGCTCCAGGCTTCCCTGGTGCCCCTTTTGGCCCCTACATGAGATAAACAGTCAATTACTATAACAAAATAACAGGAGAAGCATGGCAAGGATGCAAGGATGGAAGCTCAATTGTTGATGTGTTAATCCTACACCATGCAACATGGGAGAATCCCACGAAGAGAGGTGAATCTTGATGTGAATCCATACCCAAATCCTACATTTCAGTGCTTTGGCTCATTCCCACGTGCTCACACGATGCTCTTAGTAGGGAAGGGATGCAGAAAGTGGCCAAAGCAAAGGGCTCTGTCTGGTACAGGTTTGGGCACCCCTGGCAGGCTGAGGGGCTGCAGCAGACTCAGAGCAGTGCCAAAAATGACCGAAAATGTCATGTGGCTTGGTGCCATGACACCTGTCGCCATTCAGGTGATGCACAGGCTTTATCTCACTTATCTCATTCATTAATTTAACTTTCATTCTGTTTCACTGATAGCAATCAAGCAAGATAATGTGTTTGTCCCCTGAGCATCCCCACTCCTGGGAATTCTGTGTCCTTTTGAAAGGGGGGACAATCAATACCAAGCAGGAAATACTTACTGGTGGGCCTGGCAAACCAGGAGGGCCTGGCTCTCCCTAGAGGAAAGAGAAAAAAAGTGTTAATGCTGAAGCTTTGCTGGCTTTTCCCAACAAGGGTGCTCCCAATGGCACTCAAACCTCTCATCATGCCTTCTCCAACATTTACCTGGCTCAGTCTCATGAGCTGATGCTCTAAACCCACTGCCCCCTAAGCAGGATGAGCCCTGTCCAACACCTGCAGTGGCAGATTTGGGGAAATCCACATCCCCAGCATCCCAGAGAGAACCACTGCTCCCTAACTTTCAACTCCTTCCAGACATGGTCAGAGTTTATTTCCCCTTGGGAATGGCTGCAAGTGGGGCAGAGAGGAAGCTGGATGGGTGTCACAGCTTCCAAACACCTTCCTGGTGATACAGGGATCAACTCAGCTTTCCAGGGCACAGTATGGAGCTGTGGCACTGCCAGGAGATGGGGATTACACCACAAAGTGAAGAATGAACCAGCTGTCTACAATGATTTCCTTCATATGACTAAACTTGGACAGGGAAAGCAAACAAGCACAGCCCCCAACTGATTTCCACCTAATCCAATTGCACAATCTGCATTAAACACAATTTTCATACACTATTTCAAAAGCACTCTAATTTTTCTCTATTGTAATAAAAAGAAGCTTTTAAGAACAGCATTAAAGGTGTTTGTGAGACAACATTTTGTGAGTCTTTAATCACTTCTTTCAGCTCAACCAGTTGTAATGAAATTCAGCTGATTTTTTAAGATTTTCTAAGCCTTCTGATGTTGACATTTGTGTAACGAACTTTCGCACACGCTTTCTGTAAATAACTCATTGTTTTGCATTCTTTTATGGAGCAGGAGAAATTTGATGGACTATTGGTTTGTCCAGTGTCATTGGAGAGGTGGCACTGTCACTCTCCAATCCACTGTCACTTTTGGAAAACTATAAATGTTGGAGTCAGAAAATATTTTTCTTCACCTTGAGAGCAGTGGTGTGTGCTTGTGCTCTTTCATGTCCTGTACTGACATTCATATGTGTGTGTGTGTGTGTGTGGACTCCAGACAAAAATTTGTATTTTATTGTTAGGCCCCAAAAGAGGCAAATATTTGTGAAGAGCAGGAGCTTGACTGGAGCTTGGTTTCCAACTCATCCCACAGAAAATCACTTTGTGTCCCTGTCCAGAGGGTACCTGCCTTCCTGGCTGTAGGGTAAATGGACTGAATATTGTGAGAGCTGTTGTGGGTGAGCAGAGGGGAAGGGGCAGCCCTGGGAGGAGAAAATGTCTGTGGAAGAGGGTGGTTATTAACAGAGCAAGGCTGGAAATAAAACACCATCACTCCCACCATGGGGCAGGAGGTGAATGCAGAGCTGTGGGATTCACAGCAGGTTTCTATATTTACTGGGATGGCTGGGGGCAAATCCCTCCAGGATTTATGTCCTGCACCCCTGACTGACCAGAGGGGCCCTGAACAGAGGCATCTTTATGCTCTGACTTGCTGAAGCAACTCCTTCAGTGTCCTTTGCCCACAGCTTTTCCATAAATAGTTTTATCATAGCAGGCTGGGGAAGGTTCCCTGCCCAGGAAATGAAAGGAGCAGTTCTTTGGAAATGAAAAGGCAGCTGGAAAGGGCTGCAGGGGTGGTTTGCTCCCTCCTCAAGCACCCGGGACTGCCAGCCCCTTGCATTTTTCCTTTCCTCTGTGGTGGGAATCTGCACAGGGAGGTCACAGCACGAATGAAAAATGTTGAGGACCATCTTAAACCTTGATCCTGTGGTGGTGGAACCCTGCAGGAGCCCCAGAACTTCAGAGAGCTGAATCCAAAGACTAATCAGGGAATGCACCCCAATGCCAGGTCACTGGGAATTAGAGCAAGGGCTGTCAGCAAAAGGAAATGCTCCCCTGGTGCCATGGGGAAGTTTTCTCTTTCTCAGCAAGTCAAGGCAGGAGACAGAAAACAGAGGGGAAGAAAAAAAAAAAGCTTGATTTTTGAAAAGTGACAATTGCTTATTAGCTATTTAGGGAATTACATCTCCAGAAATAATTCACAGGAACTTGTCACTAATTCTTTCCATCAAAACATGCTGTTTCTAGTCTTGGGAGAGAGATTTTGCTTGTTACTGGGTATGAAACGAGAAGCTTGTTAAAGGCTTTAATTATAAAATATTTCAGAGGGACTTAATGTTGCAGCTCCCCCTGAAAGGCAGGGATGAAAGCTGGACCTTTGAGAAATTGTGCTGGTGGAGTTCATCCAAGGAGATCTCCTGAATAATTCAGCTGCATGCTCTGCACCTCTCCGTGCTCACACCTGATGGTAGGGGACTGCTGAGCACCCAGCTCAAACACACCCAGAGCATTTCCACACCACTTCCACCCGAAGTCACCTGTCACACTGACCTGGCTGGAATGGCTTATACAGTTCAGGAATATAGCGCAGAAAATTTTCAATTGCAATTTAAGAAAAAAGTCTATGCAGCACCAAATGAAAAATAAAAAAAAATGGTTTCACTCTGCAGTGGCATAATTGACACTGCCACTCAGGATCCACATGACCCTCCCCATGCAGCACTAGGAAAATGTAGAACAGTGCTGAATTTTATTTGCCGTCATTTTTTGGAGTGTACTGACACAAAAGTGCAGCCCATAAGCAGGGAGGCTGTGTGACTCTGCTCAACACCAGGCACAGCCCAGCATCTCCTCCTGTGCAGCTCCTGAGAGGACTCCATGTCCTGCTGAGGAGCAGGAACCATCCTGGAGCCTTCCTGGGCAGCCAGACCACCTCACCTGAGCAGGGACCTGACATCCTCTATCCATACGAGGGATGGGCTTCCAGTTCAAATTAGAGAATATTTCTGGGCAGCCAAAACTCCAGGCTGAAGCTGGGACTGCAGGGCTTTGCACCTGAAACATTTCACCCAGCCTTTTGATTAATTAGGGCTAAGTTCTTCTCATTAATTAGATGTTGTTATTTGAGCCTGTCCCACAGGGAGCCTTCCAAAGCTCTTAGCTGTGGATAAAAGGTGAAGGTGCACATGACTGACACCTCCCTGGGCTCCTGCTTCCAAGGGCAATCAGAACCATGCTGGTGCTGCTCCAGAGTTAAATATCCTGTAGAAATCAGGAACTGAACAGCTATGTGGTTTCTTTCCCATTTCCTCTCTGCAGAAGTTGAAACTTGAAATCTGAAGGGTTTCATCCTTCCCAAACTCTTCTTTTTGCTTCCACAGTGGATCATGGCCAGCCTTTCCCAAAGTGTGCTGGCCACAGCAATGCCCTGATGAAAACTGGAACCAGTTCCCTTTGTCCTCTTCTGGAGTGTCCCCTGAAGCCTTTTGTGACACCAAAAAAACACCAACACCAAAACCAGCACCACCAAAAACAGCGCCACCAAAAAACGGCGCCACCAAAAAACGGCGCCACCAAAAAACGGCCCCACCAAAAAAACAGCACCACCAAAAAAACAGCACCACCAAAACCACTTGGAAGCTGCCGAGGTGCCAGCTCTGAACGTCTCTCTCGGAACCACAAAACCAGAGGGAGATCCCCAGGAACACAGACGGCTTTAGCCAAAAGGACACTCAGAGGAGTAGTTGGAAATCAATGAGGTTCTCTCTTCAGCCCAGCCTGGCTCAGAGAGCTGCAGGGAAAGCTCCCCACTGCAGGCACAAACACTCCTTGTTCACCATGTACCAGGGAGTGCATACATTTAGTTTTTTTTACCTCCTTATTCAAAAGAAAATGACCTGCATGGAATGAATAGATTTTTTCAAGGTTGTGTAAGGGCCCAATTCCAATAAATGCACTTCAGACGAGCTTTAAAAACCCCTGCACTATTCCATAGGCACCTCAGAGAGACAAGAGCTGCTCAAACTGGAAATCGAAGCAGGAACCCAGATTTTGCATTTGATGTGGTCTTGCTAAAGGTCCATCTGATGCTCATTTTATCCACTGCCAACTATAGGACACAATTCAATCCTTATCCAACAGATGCACAGAAGCAATATTTTTAATTTCTATAGAAACATGAATTAAAAAAAAACAGAACAAGAATTTCTCCTCCATTAAGTCCTGGGTTATGCAGTCTTCTCCCTCTGCAGGAGGTGTAAGGAGCTGCCTGCTGAAACAAGGGCTCTTCATTTTATTTGCCTTTTGGGCCACTACAAACTCCTGTCTGGCAACACAAGAACCAGATCCTGACACATCCTCTGCTAAAGTGAGGGATAACCATGATGACAATATTGAAATAAAACTAAAAAGAGAAAAGCAGTGTCCAGTGCTGCTTATTTGAGTCTCTTGTAACCTCTGTAGAGATGGAAAAGCACCACATTAATCTGTCTTTGAACTGCTGAACCCTGACCTCACATACATCATACCTCTGCACAAAAAGAGAAATATTCCACTTTGCAAGCAGGATCACAAACCCCTGAGCCCTCCCTGGGGACGGGGGATTGATGCTGCAAGGAACCTGCTCAGCACCCCATGGGCTGCTCAGCCTCCTGCAGAACAGGACAGGATTTCCCAGGTCCTTCCCCCAGGGATGCCCAGAGGATCTGGAGAGCAGGGGCAGCTTCTGTGCCCAGCCCTGGGCCAGCCAGCCCTGCCCTGCCCCACTCACATCGATGCCGTCCTTGCCAGATGGTCCAGGGGGTCCTGCTGGTCCAGGAGGGCCTTGGGGTCCAATTCTTGGAAGGGACTGGGGAAAAGTGAGAGACAAGAGCTTGTTTTTCCATCAGAAGGAACACATGGGCTAGATCAGAAATCATTGGCAAAAATCCTACAGCTTAACCCTAAATCTGCACCCCCTGCCAGTCTGGGTGCACTCCAGAGCAGTGCAAGGCTCTTTGGAAAACCCTTTTGACTGAGCACATCCCCAGCTCCTTTTACTATACTGGGAATGCAAACTGGTCACTGGGCAGCAAAGGGGTTTTGTTGTATAGGAAGTTGTTCTGGCTATGGGCACATTTTGGGTCGGGCAGAGGAGGAAATGCAAAGCCCATGGAAAAGGTGCCAAGTGCTTGGTAGAAATAATGAATTTATAGCCCCGGTCTGATGGGGTGATGGCAAAGTCAGGCAGACACCAGTGAAGACAGGAGGAGAAAGAAAAAGTCCCTTTCTAAGCAGGGTGCCCCCTGAAAATCTGGGCTTTTGGAAAGGTCTGAGGTGGGGGGAAGGAGAGAAAGGTCCAATAAATGACTTCTGTATGGAGAGGGCTCCAGAGAGCAACTTACTGCAGCTTGAGGGAACAAAGGTTTCATTATAGAGGCAGCTCTGCTCACAGCAGAGTTCTGAATTCCCAAGCCAGGCTGCGAAAATTCCTCACTAACAATGAAAATCTCACTGAGGAGTCACTTCCCCAGACAATAACATTAACACCAGACAGGGAAGTTTAATGCAGCTTCATGCCTCAAGTGAGCAAGGGTTAAACATGCTGTAAGTGTAAAATTTGAAAATTGATTGAGGGAATGAGTAAGAAACTCTGATTCAGATAAAGACCCAGATCAGATCAGTTTCGCTGGAGATCTGTTACTTCATTGTAAAAGCAAAGTGTTTCTCTTAACAGATCTTCCCTTTCCAAGGCTTTTCCTGTCATAATTGCAGTCCTGGGTGGGAAAACATCAGTTCTACAGAAACAGAAAGCAGCAGTTTTTACACCTACCCACACAGGTACGAATCCAGGTGCACATTTGTAATAAACCTCAGAATAAACCTGCCTATTGCCACATTTCACCCCACAGGTACAACACACTCTCTATTTTACCCTTACAGGTTTCCCCCTGAGCACGAGACACAAATGAGGATTCTCACCTGAGCTGATGCTGTGGCCAAGAGCTGACACAGGGACAGGAGCCCAAGAGCAGAGATTCCAGCCATGGTGCCCAGGCTCTGCCTCTCTCCCTTTCCTCCAGGCTGCCAAACCCTTTCTCCTCCGGGGTCCAGCAGATCCCTCCTCCTCCTCGGGGCTCTCAGCTTACAGAGCAGGGACTCCTGGCCTCCAGATAAACCTGTGGCTCCAGCTGGAGCAGGGAGAGGGGCTGAGCTTGGAGGAGAGGAGGTGGGAGAAGGAGGGGGAGCAGCAGAGCAGCTCATTCCTGCCCCAGCCTCCTGCTCCTGGAGCCTCTGGAAGGGCTGGGCTGGGAGCAGGGACACAGGAGCACAGCTGGGATACTCCAGCTGCAAACACAAAGCTGCTCCTTAGCTCTCACGCGGGATATTTCCCAAAGCCCATCACCATCCCTGTGCTGGACAGGTAAAAAGGAACACAGGGGAGTTTTTCAGTGAATTTTCCATTTTTCACCTAACTCCAGCAGGGACATTAAGAAACCTGTGACAGGGCAGGATCACCACAGAGAAATGCACTTACTGCTTAGTGAGGTGCTTTGTTAGCTCTGGAGGTTGCTCATATCTGGTTTCAGGTTTTTTTTTAGGGTGATTTGAAGAGCACTGATTCCTTGAGAAATGATGAATGCTGGTTGGAAAAGACAATCACAGAGAGATACAAGGAGGAAGGGAAAAGGAGGAACATTCTCAAAGGCACAAAGAAATATCTGAAATGCTGTGAGGAAGGAAAGAGGACAGTTCCCTGCCTGGTGACCCTAAATGGCAAGAGATTAATGAAGATCCATCTCCTGCAATGAGCTTCATAATTCCCTTTATTGATTAAAGGCAATTTCATCCAAAGCAGGGCTTGGATGTGGGGAGGAATGGTGGCCAGACTCCTCAGGGCTGAAATGACACAGCTCATCTGGTTAGGAACACAAGAGGAGAAGTGGAAAGTGAAAGCTGAGGAACTGAAATACCTGATTTTAGCCTGGCATCTGTGCAACAGGAGGCTTGTAGGAGCACACAGTGTTTGTGTGACCAGCTCCCCAGCCAGGATTCCTAGAGCTTTGGCAGAAGGATAAACGGCTCAGATTTACTGAGTTCCCACAAGATTCTGTGGAATAGTTTGGGACAGAAAGGGAATGTGTGTCTCTGAGCCTTCTGATGGCTTCAGAGTAACTGGAATCCTTTATTGGACAGCCCAAACCCCAAAGAGGGAGAGCAGCTTTGCACAGCTTGTACCTCCTCCTCCACACTGAGGCCAGCTGGGGCAGGAGGGAAGGCAAAGGAGACCCAAGTTCCTCAGCCACACCTTGTCCAGAGCAAGCCAGGGCTGGGGGCTGCAGCAGGTGAGGCCTGCCCAAGACCAGCATGGGAAGGGCCCTGGGGGTGTTCACCTTCAACACCATCCCACATTTCCAGTAACCCTCCATCCCACACCCACAGGCAGCACAGCTGAGGGGACACAATGGCTTAGAGGAACTTTTTAATTAATTACCACAAAGATACCCCTGTTCTTGTGTCCTGAAGGGAATAAAACCCCCTGAACTGAAGCTCCCACAGCCAGGCTGGGCAGGAGCCCCAGGGGATGCTCCAAGCAGAGGCCTGGTTTGCTCTGCAGAGCACCACAGCACCTGTGGGAGAAGAGCTGCAGAAGCAACACAAAACATTCTGAAACAAGCAGATACCCCATGCCTGGAAGTGGTCAAAGCCAGGCTGGATGGGGCTTGGAGCAACCTGGTCCAGTGGAAGGTGGAGGTTGGACCAAGATAAACTCTGAGGTCCCTTCCAACCCAAAGCATTTTGCAATTCTATGATTTCCAAGCACATCATTAAACAAGCAGCATGAGGGGGTGTTTTCCTCTGAAACATTCACTGGACACGTTTTAGAGGTGGAGGAAGACTGGGCATGACCTCCACAGGGAAGAAACAGCAGCTGTGTGCCATGCTGAGCCCAGCAGGGCACCCTCTTCTTGGGGGGAACCAAGCAACAGCTCATGGCTCCAGGGGGCTGGGTAAATACAAGGACATATCCCACCCTCAAAAATGAAAAAATATAAAAGGCAACTGATATGCTTTCAAGTCATGCTTTAATAGGGAATTAACATCACAGACTCCGTGATACAGCTCTGAGTGCTGGCAAACACCTTGTGAACTCACCACACACACCTACAGCCAAAAGTGAACCTGGCACGAGAGGGAAGGGCTTGGTTTGAGCACTCACTCCAGGCTGGGGATCAGAGTGAAATCCCATTAAACACAAAACCATAACAAGATATAGGATCTATGCCCCAACTGAGCACATATTCACAATGAAAATTTCATTAAATAAGAAAATTACTATAAATCTGTACAAAAGCCACAATTAACAATTCTTAGGAATCTGTTAGGAAAGAATTTTCACTCAACATCTTCAAGTATTTCCATCTGTAGTTAAGTGTATTCTTATTGGCTATTTACCTCCATCTGTTCTTAAGAAGAAAGTAGTATTTTAAAAATATTAAAGCCTTTTTTCAGTACATGTGTGACCATGAACATCAGATGTTGGGCTTGCAGACTTTTATTCTCACACATATGTGGCATGCTGGATCAGAACCTACAGGCTGGGAAGGCAAATCACCCCTCAAATTCCTTGAAAGATAAAGCTTCTTAAGAGCTGTAGCAGAGAGGAAAAACATTGACATTGCACAAGCTGCTGCATCTGCTCCCTGGCCATCTCCTACACAAACCAAACAGCACCAAACCTCAAAACCAACCCAAACAACCTGAGCAAACAGCAAGTCCAGACCTTCAGGCTGTTGGAAACAATTTCCTCTGCTTCATGAAACAGATTCTCTGTTGTAAATTTTTAGGAGTGAAGGTGCTAAACTGTTTTAACTTCAGACCTGGTGGAGGATTGTGCAGTGTGGCAGAACAGCTGACAGGGAGGTCAGGAACAGAGGCAGGCAAAGAGCTGGCAAGGTCTGAAAGTAAATTCTTGAGGGCTGAAAATAAATGAACCAGACAAGCATTGCCTCTCCAATTAACGTTTCAATTAACTGCCCCACAAAGCCCAGTGGTTTCCAGACATGCTGCACTGGAACATGCCCTGGCTGTCTGACATTAAAGGCAAAGCAACCCTGCCCTAAGTAGGAAACAGGCTGGATCTGACACACCAAACCTCAGCCATGGGCCTGCAGGAAAGAGCCTCCCCAGGCCACTGCAAATTACCAGCTAAGGCTGAAACAAATGCACTGGGAAATATTTGTGCTGCTTTGGCAACTGAGAAATGAGAGCCTCTGAAACAGTCATGGACAAAAACATCTGTGGAAGACTATAAAGTGGTTGGAACACACGGGGAAGGAAGAGCAGCTCTAAACAGTTTTATGCAAAACCTGGAGCTTTTTCTCTTAGAAAGCAGCAGGCAATTTGTAGTCTTAACTCTAACAAGAACCACAAAGCAACCTCTGTGGGGATAAAGAGAATTACTCAGCACTTTGCAGCTCAAGAGAACAGAATCTCTACACAAAGGTTCATACTGGTCAGAGACACATTTTGGCTACAGATCTATCCCAGTCTAAAGCCAAACCTACTTTCCTTATAGGAAGAGAGGCAACTACATTGACATCAGGTGAAATCCATATACCCATCTCTTTTAGAGAAACAGCAATTCTGCCAGGAAAAAACTCCTGGGAAGGTACAGCCTTCCAGAGTAACAAACAGAAGTTACACAGCAGTAGAAAGGCCTGGCAAATAAGATCATGCTGTCTTTACACTAAAAATCGTGTCTTTAATAAATACTTAGGTAATTCAAACAAGGAGACAGATCAGTTTTCCTCTTTCTTTCAGTAGGGACATAACCAGAATCAAAGCAAAGTGCAAAAATCCCCGTTGCTCCAAGATAGCCCTGAACATCAGATAAAACCCAGCAAGAGGACACAGCCTGTCCATGAAAATGAGTAAATAAAGTTTTCCTCTTTAGGGTAACCAAGAGCTGGATCTCAGCGAGTTTACTACAGATGATTAAAAAAACATGGAAGAGTGAAAGTGAGACAGGGGCCAGCTGGATCATCCCAAAGAAGTTTATTCAGTTCTCCAAGCCACCAAAGCTGGCTCCCAGTACAGGGCAGTGCCATCTCTGCTGGCTCAGGTGCTCGCTGTGCTGCTCTCACTCTGCTGCTCCCTGCTCTCCACCAGGCTCTGCTCCATTCTCAGAGCCTTCACCTTTTTCTGGTGGGACCTTAGCACTGTTTTCTTCAGGACAAGTGGGTGTTATGCTCTGCTCATGACTCTCTGGAGCTTGCTTCTTGTCTGTGTCTTCTGTTTGCCCTTTTTCACCTGCCTTTTCCTGCTGTCCAACCCCATCTAATTCACTTCTACCCCCCAGGAGTTTGCTGTTGCAGTGGTGCTGATCACCCCCTGCTGAGTTTTGATCTCCACTGGACTTGCAGCCATCCTTGACTGGAGCAGTGCAACCAGTCCTGGGGGGCCTGGAAGCAGCTGGGGCTCTCACAGCCCCACCACCTGCATCACCACCACCCTCCTTCTCACTTGGCACTTCCACAGCTGCATTTTCCTCACTGACACCTCCTTTTCCAGCCTCACCGTTAGCAGCAGATGGATTTGCCTTGGCAGCAGAAGCTGAGGGCCCCATGCTCAGGTTTATGGCCAAGCTCACTTGTTTGCCTCTGGATGTTTTTTTATCGACCTTCCTGCGTTTCACAGCCGCGTCCGCGGCCTCCGGCGCCGCCGGCTCTTTGGTGCTTGAATCACCTTCCTTCAGAGCCTCCTGATCCTCCTCAGCCTGGGAGCCTGGCTCTGAGCAGGGGATCTCTGCATCAATTGCACACTCTCCCAGATTATGGGAAATGTTTTCAATATCAGCTGAGTTTTTCAATGATCCGTCGCCTTTAGCATCTGCCAAACCTGCATTCAGTTTTCTCTTCTTGCTCTCCTTTGTGCAATCATTCTCTGCAGTACCCTGCCCTTCTTCAGCTTCATTTTTTAAATCCTCTTCCTCCAGCTGGCCAAATGAAGCTTCTTTCTCCTCTTCATCATCTCCTGCCTTCAAAACACATTTGCTTATCTCCTCCTTTACATGTTCATCACTCATTTCAGGCCGCAACTCTGCAGCATCTGCAGCTTTCTGTTCCACCTCTGAGCACTGGTTCTGATCCTTGTCCACAGGATCACATTTCTGACACTGAGTGTCCTGTTTGT